AAAAACACACACATACACCGTTTTGTTGTTTCATGTATTTTCATATCAAAAGTAGAAAAGGGAATTTGTCTTTGCAAGAAAAAATGTAGTACAAAGTGCTATTTATGTCTGTTTTAAAAACATCATCAATGTAAAGATTTCCCATCTTACCCATTTGTCCTGGTTTTGTTCTTCTAGTGTCATTTGTCTGTGTGTCAAGATCTCCATCCCAGATATTGAAGTTACAGTCCAGATCCATTTCTTATTTGTCAGATTTTCAGAATCACACCATTTCCTAAAAATTATTTATTTTTTACCAGCACCAGTAAGAAAAAAATGACAAAACAAATGACTAAATACAGAATTTCCCAAATATAAAATGAAAAAATATAGCTGAACCCACTGATGTGATCAATTTTTATTTTTAAGTCTTTAGTCCAACAATTTATTCTGTTTACAAAGAGTGATAATATAAAACAAATAGAATTCTCTATTTTTCTATATATAATTTCCGGGAAACTTTAAAAGGAGACATATTGTAGAAAAAATACACACAGCTCTTATACCATAATGTATTAATTGTTTAAAAACACTAAATCCTAAAAAATGTGGTGATTATGGGCTGGTCAGTTTGGAATGCACAGTTCTGTTATATTAGATTCATTACTCACTCCAAAGGTCTTTCTTTTAGATCTTTAAGTTATAAAAGACTGTATTTGTTTATTATCAGTGGAAGGAAACAATAGTGTCATTAATTGTATGAGGTAAACATCCTCAATGATTTCTGGCTTGTATGGGAATCTGTGTTGTCTTATCCTTGAGTCTGTTAATGGTTTCATCTGCCTTTTGCTTTTAAGTATGTTTGGACCAACAATTTGGTTGCTTCAGGTCCGCTTTGTTATAATATTATTTCATGGACCTTTTCTTTCAGTGTTGCTTCTCAATTTTATTCATAGCAATAGTTTTTGATTTTGTGTAGATTTGTGTTGTTTTGCTAATTGTTCATTTTTAGCTTTTTGTAAGTATCCAATTCTTTTTTTTTAGTTTAAGATCTTATGATATTTACTTATGAGTAAAATTGATCTTTTCTTTCAGTCTTTCTTTGACTTTCTTCTTGTTCTTCCCTTCACAGCAGATGGACAGAAGGACATTGAGGATGAGTTAACCACTGGTTTAGAGTTAGTAGATTCCTGCATTCGCTCTCTACAGGAATCAGGAATTCTTGACAGCGGTGAACGTAAGTAAATTCTTAAGCCTCTTTTTGCATGTGTTTGGGAATGCAGCATTTTAGTTTATGTTTTTTCATTATTCCTAAAGCAGCGTATTTATACAGCAGAACACTGACTTTTAAATAATCCTCAGTTTTTGATTGTTTAGCAGAACCATTATTAATTGTGTGATGAATGAATGATTAAGGGAAGTACTCTCTACCTGCAGTTACTGTTTGGGGAAAAATAATTAAAAAGCATTTAATTAATTCCAGTTTATTTTATTTATGTTTTTTCTTATTCTTTTTCTAGTTGCATGCACTGATATTATTATCGCTTCTGTTGTTGTTTTCCTGAAAAATTCAGTCCTATTGTTTAAATAGAAGGCTCAGCCATTGTTTTGATTTTTAATAAAAAGTTTGATTAGAAAAGCATTTCTTTCAAATTTAATATATTTTATCTGTTATTAGGATTGATTTTGTTCTAGGTAAATAAAAAACAAAAAAATGTGAATAAAAGTTGTTTTCTAAGGCTTGTCACAACAGAAACGCTTGGAAAGACAGTAAAAGGTCAAAAAACTCTTAGCCGCCTGAAACTATTTCGGACATGAATATTTAAAGGAAACATCAAGTGATAATTTTTTAATGTAAGTTAGGCAATTAACCCTTTTATCAACAGAGCAGTTAGTGACAAACACAACATGCAGTTTCAGGAGTAATGAGTAATTAGAAAGCGTGTCCAATTTTTCAACTTTGTTTGAATAAGATTAACAAATAAATGGAATATAATAATAACATAATCTAACAAATATTGAAAGGCAGTTCCTGTGCAGTGTAAGGTCCTACTAAATGTTCTTGGCATTTTGTTTTCAGGTCATTGGTTTTGGAACATGGCATTCCCATTTTACTTATTGTCTGCTGACCTTTTTGATACTGTAGCTGATTTCGCTGTAGCAAATGGCATTTAAAAACATCACTGTATGAAGACTTCCATATAAAGCTAAAAATGCATGGTTTTTCATATTTCCAGGAGAACCTACTTAAAGAAAATTATCTATTTTCATTAATATGCTATCATGCATGGCTGTAATCATTATTTCTGCATCCGAAAACACTTTTTGTATGACTTAAAATTAGGCATAAATCTTGGAAATATGGTTTTGCAAGAGTTACCTAATTTCATACAGTTTTGCTTTGACAAGCAAAGCCTTATCTGTTCAAATATTGCTAAACTAGTGGTATACGTAACAGATCGTTAGAACCTTATCCTGTCTGCAGGAAGTGACATAGTCTTTGTCTAAACTGAAGACACTTATTGTAAGTATTTTTAGTGTGATAGTTTCAAACCTCTTTTTTGTTTTCAGTATTAGGTCACAAAGGGTGAATTTGGATATAGATTAGGCTTAGCTTTTCCTGAGAGGGTGTGTGTGTCTGTATGTTTTATGTTTAATGTAAAAGCTAAAACAAATCTCAAAACAGTGAGCAAATGAAGCGTTGACATGTTAATGTCTTCACTGAAAGGCTGCACAGAACAAGGGATCCTTTTACCCTGCCTTGTTGCTTGTAAGGTGTTGATGCAGATTGATACAGCAAATAATTATTCTGCAGAGACACATTATGAAATGTTCTTGTCATAACAATTACTACATCAGCACCAGCCTTTTTATTATGCCATAATACTCTTCTATGTATACAGGGTATGCAAGTTTTCATTACTACATATTATCACCATCTTTTTTGTATATTCTAATAGTCCCATATTTACTGAATACATACAATAAAGAAGCCATTTATTATCTGACTTAAAATAAGTTAAGTAAACTTTAAGAGAATGTCACATTTCTGCATAGATGCAATTAGAAAATGATGAATAAATGGTAAAATACCTTAAAGCAATGCATTTTTATAGTTGCAACTTAAATTACGACTTAAATTAGGTAAGCAAATTAATTTGGTGGTTAAAAATGAATGTTCTATGAATACCAGAAATCAAGTCTGTTCTTTTGATGCAATGTCTTGAAACTAACAGTCATGCCTTTATTGCTTCCAATTTTGATTATTCCAACACACTACTGGTCATCCCTCTTTCTCCTGCCCACTGTCCAAAATGCTACTCATGAGCCAAAAGGAGTCATATTAGATCTGCTTTCTCTCCACCACTTCTTTGTAAAAGTTAGAAATAATTTCAGAATCCTTGTATTTGTCTCTACAATAAATTCCATAATTGTCTTCTTTAATAGTTTGCTATGATCGCCTTTAAGCTGTGGGACAGGATTACAATCAGAATTTCTCCCAGCACATTCTTTTATTTGACCAGTTTTCAAAAAACTAAGGTACACGGTGAAAAAAAAAAAAAAAAAGAAACCGCTTCGATGAAAAAAGAAATGTGCTCATAAGTCCAAAGGTTGTGATCCTGCATGACACTGAGTCAAAACGGACGACAGGCAGTTCAGGAAACAATGTGTTTCACTATAAAATCACCAAGTATGAATAAAGAAATTAAGTGGAAAATTATGATAATGCTGGCTTAAATGATGATCCTTTTACCTCATTACTTTTTTATATATCAACTCTAAAGGAAAAAACACGTCAGGAAACTTATATGGTTGTCTGACAAAGAGTATCAAATTTCTACATTTAATTCAGTTTATTTATATAGCGCCAGTTCACAACTAGGGTTGTCACGATACTAAACTTTTCAACTCAATACCGATACTAAGGAAAATATTCGATACTCGATACCATTTTCGATACCACAAGGATAAAAACAAAGACTCCAAAATTCTACAGAAATATTTTCATTAATAAACAAAATACAATAAATAGATA